CTAGCTCTAGTCAAAACTGCAAAAAAAAAAAAAAAAAAAGTTTTTTTAAAAAGAAAGCATACTAGAAATTTTCCTATGTGAAGAGAAACTGAGAAAATACTGTTTCAGTTATTCCTAAACCTGGTTAATCCACAGAATCACAGTGATTAAATATAACTCCTGTCCTGACTCTGTCCCTGGAGAGCAAAGTCTATAGCAAAGAAGGAATTGCCAAAGACTGTAAGAGGCCTCAGACTGAGTGGCGGAGCCAGAGAATGCCCAGGAAAGAGGCCCAAGTCTTTGGGAAGGAACTGGCTTTAAATGGTTCTGGTTAACCAGCGGGTCATGGTTTAGGGCAGCAGTTCTCAACCCGTGGGTCATGACCCACAGGAACTGTATTAAAGGGCTGCAGCATTAGGAAGGTTGATAAACAACTGGTTTAGGGGAATCTTTATAGTCACCTATAGTCATGCTAAATGTGGTGGCATAGACCTGTAGTCCCAACTAGTCAGGAGCCTGAGGTAAGAGGATTGCTAAGTTAAATAGGCAGCATTGTGAGACCCCATCTTCCAAAACAAACAAACAAAAATAAATAAAATAGTTAAATATAGTCACTGTAAATATTTTGCCTGATCTTAATTTACAGTATGCATGTCCTATTACCAAAAATAATTTTTTAAGGCCTGAAGCTTTTAAAAATAATTTTGTGGGCTGAGCATGGAGGCTCACATCTGTAATCAATCCTAGCACTTTGGGAGAATGAGGCAGGAGGATTGCTTAAGGCCAGGAGTTTGAGGCAAGCCTCAGCAAGAGTGAGACCCAGTCTCTACAGAAAAATAGAAGGGGTGGTGCCTGTGGCTCAAGAAGTAGGGCACTGGCTCCATATACCCAGGTGGCAGGTTCAAGCCTGGATCCAGCCAAACCTGCGAAAAGAAAAAACAAAAATTAACTGGGTGTGGTGGTACACACCTATAGTCCCAGCTACTCCGGAGGCTAAGCTAGGATAGCTTGAGCCCAAGAGTCTGAGGTTGTAGTGAACTATGACACCACTGCATTCTAGCCAGAACAACATAAGACTCTGTTGTAAAAAAAAAAAAAGGTTTGTGGAGCCAGGCATGGAGGCTCACACCTGTAGTCCTGCCAACTCAAGAGGCTGATCCAAGAGGATTGCTTGAGGCCAGGAGTTCAAGACTAGCCTGGGCAAAAAATTAGCCAGGCTGCCCATAATCCTAGCTACTTGGGAGACTGAGGCAGGAGGATTGTTCCAGTTCAGGCGTTCAAAGCTGCAGTGAGCTATGATCATGCCACTGTACTCCAGGCTGAGTGATAGTGAGACCCTATCTCTCACATACATGCACAAGTTTTGCATATTGTAAATAAAATTTTTTTAATAATTCCATCTAAATATTTCTTGTGGACAAATTTGCTGCTTAGCTAAGGAGAAAGTAGAGTGAATTTTTGTCCATAACCAAACCTAGAGAGGAAAGGAGATAAAATACAGCTCTAGAAGGCAGGCATATGAGAATCTGGGGTGGGGGGGGGAAGGTGAGAACTCGGGGGAAAAAAGTCCAGGATCAGACACTTACAGAAGCTTTCCTCATGAAAATACCTATACTTGTCCAACGAGGGGTTTTCTTTAGTTTAAGCTGTGTAGTTCCTTAAGCAAGGCTGATTTTGTTATATCCATCAGCTTTAGACAGTGAGACCCTGGCATCACAGCAAGAAGCCACGACCGATCACACGGACTCTATGGTAAGAGTATGGGTGTGCATGGGTGAGGGTCCAGTGACCGTGGAGTTGTGTAAATGTCAGAATGTCTCTCTGCCCTGTGCTCAGCAAGCCCCAAGGCTGGCCTTTGGTTAGCCAGGATGGTAGAGGAGAGCAATGGGATGTACACTCAGAATAATAGATTTTACTTGGAAGGTACCTTTGTGCTTACAAATGTGAGTGAGTCTGAATTGACGATATACTTCTTTAAAACACATGATAATGTGAACCTCTATAGCGGACTTTCTGGTTCCTCCATTGTACACTTTACCAAATTTCTCCACTTACTCCTTTGCTGAGAACTGTATAATGCAAAGGTCCAGCCTGTTAAATTTGAATTCTCAACTGCTTTTTTGGTGTCTTCCCTGAAGTAGAGAGATAATTGGGCTTAAAATTTCAGGAATTTCTATGAACGCTTTCCCAGGAAGATCAATTGTCTGTCATCTTAGCATCAGAGAACACTAGTCGTGGAACCTTTTCAGTCCTCACAGTCTATTAGGCACCCTTTCCAAGGCTACTCCATTTTGCGTCTAAGGTCTGTGGAGCACAGAGGGCGGTGTAGTGGGATAACCTGGCTGTTGTGTGTGTTGAGTTCCTAAAGGAAGTCCAAGCCGAGCACATGCAGTAGATGCTCCACAAGTGCCTGAGTGAATGGAAGGGTCGTTAGCCATTATCCAGTTCAACTCTCATTTTACATGATGATTTGCTTACTACATTGTACTTTCTTCTTAGTTGCTGTTAGAAACTTTGAAAGATGAACTGAAGCTTTTTAACGAAACAGCCAAAAAACAGATGGAGGAGTTACAGGTGAGTCACACATCGCCCTGAGGCAAGATTATCATTTCCTACCACAGTAGGTAGATTCATTCTTTCCTAGTTTCTATTTTCTATTTTATGTAGCTATTTTGAAATAATTTTAGATTCACAGAAAAGTTGCAAAATAATACTGAAAATTTAATTCCTCCAATAGTAACATCTTAAATTATCCTGGTACATTTGTCAAAACTAAGAAACCAACATTGGCGCATTACTATTAACTAAATTCCAAGACTTCATTTGGACTTTACTAGTTTTTTCCATTAATTTTCTATTCCTGAGGATTCTTAGAAGTGTTCACACCTGCAGGGCATACGGCAATGTGCAACACAGTAGGCTGCTTAAAGTGGAGAGTTGAACCTGTATGACACTCATGCTGTGGAAACTGGCTATCTCAAGGAGGAGACCCGTAGTAAGAAATTCTTGGATCTGGACTGCTTAGATGAATTGTGAGATTTTGCATTGAATCTGGAGGATTTCATTTCTACAGTTTAGATACAGGAATCCATAGTAATATAGACACCTATAATCCTAACACTCTGGGAGGCCGAGGTGGGAGGATCACCTGAGGTCAGGAGTTGAAGACCAGCCTGAGCAACAGTGAGACCTTGTTGCTACAAAATAGAAAAATGGATGGTGCCCTTAGCTCAATGGGTAGGGCACCAGCCACATACACCAGAGCTGCAGGTTCGAACCCCACCCAGGTCAGCTAAAGCAACAGTGACAACTGCAACCGGAAAATAGCCGGGTGTTGTAGCTGGTACCTATAATCCCAGCTACTTGGGAGGCTGAGGCAAGAGAATCACCTAAGTCCAAGAGTTTCAGGTTACTGTGAGCTGTGACACCACAGCGCTCTGCCCAGGGCAACAGCTTGAGACTCTGTCTCAAAAAAAAAAAAAAAAAAGTGAACTAGGTTTGGTGGTGTAACTCCATAGTCCCAGCTACTCAGAAGGCTGAAGCAGGAGGATGACTTGAGCCCAGGAGTTTAAGGTTGCAGTAAGCTATGAGGAGGCCATAGCACTGTACTACCCAAGGTGAAAGAGCTAGCGAAACCCTATCTCAAAAAAAGAAAGAAAGAAAAGAAAAGAAAATGTAATGTCTATTGGCATTACAGAGGTCCTCCTCAATGGAATAGAAGCATAGTGTGCTGTTGTCTTTCCTGTGAGTCAATGAGTCAAATTTTTTTCTGTGTTTTTCTTTCGGAATGTCTTTCAATGCAGGCCTTAAAGGTAAAGTTGAAGATGAAAGAAGAAGAAAGGGCCCAATTCCTAGAACAACGTCCTTTATTTAACTGTCAACTAAATGATTTTACAGCAACTATTAAGGAAATGGAGCAGCTATTGGAAATGTGATAAAAAGCAAGTGGCTAGATGGCTGCCTCTTGGGAATAAGTTCTCAGAGGAAGCCATAGGACATCTTGGCCATGATTTTCTGGGACTCACCATCTCCAAAGTGAAAACGGTAGGATTAAGGACAATTTATACTGGAGTGGCGGTTCCTCTTTTAAGCAAGTTTTCCCAACCTTCAGATGTGTCAGCCCTCCTGAGCCTTCTGTGGATAATTGAGGCCTACAAGAATGAGACCTGGCAGCTTGGATTGACCTCTTCGGGGAACCATTTGATGTTATCACACCATTAGAATTGGGGGACTAAACCAGCCACAGCTAGAGGATCTAAAATGTCACTTTCAAATTTTTGAGAAGAAACCTTAATTGCAGTGGAGCACAGGTGCTCTAAGGAGGCATCATTAAGGAGCTGAGCTGTCTGCTTCTAACTTAGAGCACATTCTGTCCCATTTTAGGTTTTTGTACCTCATTATTAATTTATGAACTTAAAGTTGCTTGATGTGTTTTTTAAGCTTAGTAAATGGGGTGAAGCTATAGGTAATTATAACATGTACTTGAAACAACACACCTTGGAGCTTTTAATGTAAGTCATTTCTGGTTTTTTTAAGTGCTTTAAAAATAAATACGTGAAGATTCTGACTGTAACACTGAGGAATACAAATAGCTATTTAACGTAAATATGTCAGCTGTTGAACTGATCTAGTTAACATGTTCAAGATATTCTGACTTAGATTTTTCTTCCAATCATTAAGTGCCCTGTGACTAGCCCCCTGCCTTCCAGGAGCATTGGCTGGTCTCCTGAGGGTGTTCCCTGTTTATAGCAGTGGATCTCAGACTTTTCTCCCCAGCTTTGTGACCACATGCTGCCTATGTTCTCCTTGTACTCCTAAGCATAATTATGTGCTTGCTGTTTGCTTTGCACAGCCAATCCTGGGCCTGATCCCAGTCCTGGTCCCATAGATCCTTTTAGTCCATGGCAGGCCTCTCCCCGGTTTACCAAAGGCATGGCCAAATTTTATTTCCTAGTCAAATTAGACTGATTGTGGCTTTGACCACCTCCCATTCTTTCTACACCTCCTAATTTCTTTACCTTACCCTCCTACCTCCACCCTTGAGCATCTTTAAGGCTACCCAGAGTCACCCAGTGAAGACCAGAACACTTCCATACTAGTTTAAAGGGCAAAAATTGTTTGCCTTCACAGACATTCACAAAGTTGGTTATATCTCAGATATGTTGAGCCTGCTCACTAAAAACTGGGTTATGGCAAATGATTTCTCTCAACCTCAGTTTTTACCTTTGAAATAGAGATAATATCTATCTTGCTGGGTTGCTATAAAAGGGTTTTGTCCTGCATCTAATCCAGTGTCTGGTAAAAGTACTCTGATCCTGGTGGTGATATTATTAAAGTTCAAAAGTTACCTTGGCAGCAGATTCCCTTCATTATCTTGCCCCCAATTTCTCCAGTGTCGTCTCTCCCCACCCCAGCACATAGTGCCTTGATCTTAACCTTTTGTAGGCCTCACATAATCAAATTTCCTCAAATGGGGGGACTTGGTTCTTAAGGTGAATTGCAGCCATCTTAAAACACAAAACCAAAACCCACATCATCTTCCCCTCCAGCTACCATCTAGCCAGGTATTCACAACCAAATTTCTCAAGAATTGCATTAATTCACCCTTTTCTTCCTCTTCTAGTCTGGCTCAAAAATACACAAAAACACTAATATGGAGTGCTAGAGTAGACAAAGTCATATAGACAGAATAGTCGCTATCATGGGCTGAGAGCAGGAGGAGAAGAAAGTTTCTGTTTGGGATCATTAAAAACTTTTGTAGGGCTTGGCACCTGTGGCTCAAGTGGCTGAGGCGACAGCCACATACACCTAAGGTGGCAGTTTCGAATCCAGCCGGGGCCCACCAAACAACAATGAAGGCTGCAACCAAAAAAAAAAAAAAAACAAGAAAATAGC